CATTCTGTGCATGTGAAATACAGTGCCTTCAACGCTTGGAAATGAAAGGGAGGGAGGAAATCCCTGGGATGTTCAAATTGGGCAACAGTTCTGCAGTCTTTTAATCCAGGGGGGTTTTAATCCAAATTATATTGGGGCTGAGGAGTCTAGAGAAGGCTCAGGGGGCAATCTTACCAAGGTGTGTAAATACCTGAAGGGAGGCCACAAAGAGGATGGAGCCAGGCTCTTCTCAGTGGTGCGTGGCGACAGGACCTGAGGCAGTGGGCACAAACTGAAACACAAGAGGTTCCCTCAACATCAGGAAATGCTGTTTTTACTGTGAGCATGGCCAAGCCCTGGCACAGGTTGCCCAGAGATGGACTCGCCATCCTTGGAGATGTTCAAAAGCTGCCTGGACATAGTCCTGGGCAACTGGCTCTAAGGGGCCCTGCTTGAGCAGGGGGTTTGGACCAGATGACTTCCAGAGGTCCCTGTCGACCATTTTATGATTAAGTGCCACCAAATGGGCTGGTATTGCTATTTCCCTGGCCATACAGTCTCCTTCCTTCCTTTTTGCAGGGGGAAAAATAAAAAAGGTATTTTTTAATAAAGTTAATTTCAGCCAAGATGCTTCCTTGATCCCGTTCACCTCTTGGCAGAGAAGAGGAGAGGGAAACATATAGACAAAGGCGAAATCACCCATTTGCAGCCGTCACATTAAAGCAATTGTAAAACTACAATTTTGAGTATATTGAAAGACAAAAGAACGCTTGCAAGTAGATTAGAAACAGGACATTGGGCCTATAGGGTCTTGCATAACTATCTTACGTTTCTCATGTACACATTTCCCACTCTAAAATTCAGACCTCAAAACTGAAGTTAAATGAAGAACAAGCTACTTGCATACCACAGGCAGACACAGAAATTTCTTCTGAGTCCAGGAACAGAGCTTGGGCTGGCTCACCAACACCAGCCATCAACAGCTTTTATTTGTAAAGAATCTGATTCCTCCATCTGACATTCCTTTGTTTTCTGGCATGGTTTCTCTAAAGCTTGCAAAATAAGTGTCATTCTATCATTACCTGCACCTTTCAAGGAAGACCAATCTCTTTTTTTCCCATAAAATCCTTTCTATGAGGACTCTGCGAACCATTGTTCAGCAGCATGGACAGGCCTGGACTGCTTCGTGCAGCTGCTTCCTCTAGGCCTTTGGCACCCTTGCGAACAATTTATCTACTGAAATCATCACTACCTGTAATAAATGTGAGTCTTGACTTCTCTAAGCAGTCAAGGCCTCCACCCATCATAACTGATGGGTTCAAAGAAAATAATTCTGCCAGTGCCTTTAATGGTTTTTTGGTGGTTTTTTTGTTTGTTTTTTTTTTTTACACTAGCTACCACTTCAGCTTCCCGTCCTGTTCTGTCGCCACTCATTATGATCTCCCAGTTTTCCTGTGAATAGGCATGTCACGTATGCTTGCTTTATTTCTATCTAAATTTTGATCTCCAGTAGTTGGATAGATCTCATTTTTCCCATGATAAGTTTGTGCTTGCTGGGTGTCTCTGACAGCAGCTACATCCATCTGAGATCAGCAAGTGGGCCAGAATCAGAACTGAAGTGTTGGTGTTAGACTTTAGTACGGCTATATTCCCACACCAAATGCTAAGATTGATTGAAAGTCACAGCACTGCCTTTTATCTTTTAGAAGTTGTTTTTTTCCACTGGCTGCAAATGAACTCTGGCTACAGGAAACAGATTGTGAAACTGGCTCCAAGGCCTAAACTTCAGATTTTCAGCCCTTTGTTTTATAGATTTTAATGTAGCACTTTGGTAATGGAGATGAAGGTGGCTTTATTTTTTCCAACCCAAATCTCTGCAGTTTTCCGATACCAGGTCAAGCTTCTGTGTGTACTGCAAGACATTGTGGAAATCAAGGTCAAAGGCTACCAGCAGAATTAATCAGAGCCTGAAGTGAGGGGAATGTGTTTGTCTGATTTGCCTGTTCACTGACTGAAGTTAATATGCTTGTTTTTGATCCCTAAAGGATGGATAAGAGAAAGGCAGAATTATGAAGGAAACAATCTGGCAACTCATCCAGAATTACAGCATTTGAGTTTTTAAAATGATAAGCTGAAGCAAAACAAATTTGTGGCTGTTTTAAGCCTCAGTATTTCCTTCCTTGATGATTTATCAACTTCCCTCTTTTTTTAACTAGATAAGAACTTCTACAGCCATATGCAAATGATATCCAAGTGCAGAAATATTTTTTGAAAATACAATATCAAGTAGTCGTATTCATGTCTTTTCTAAGATACAAGATCTAAATTATATTTATTTTTAAAAGTTTTTCAGTTTCTGTATGTCACAGAAGAGCACTTTACTGCAGAGCTCACTTAGTTGATTTCTTGAGAACTAGTAATAACACAGTAAAACTTCTGCAACTTAGAAGCAACTGCTTTTTAAATTATATATTCCTTCAACTGCTTTTATTTGCTTTTCTGTAGTCTTATTTCATTCTACCTAGACAATACCTAGGGTGGGATCGCTCTCTTCTAAAAGTTCATCCTCTGCTTTTAGATCTGGGTTTTGGCATGTTGCCGCAATATCTGGGCACTCCATAGTATTTATTGCATTTTTCTTCACAGCAGCCCTCTGAGGAAGCAAAGCTCTGTGACTCCTGTTTTGCAAAGAGACAGCAGAAAGCCAGAAGCTACCTCTCTACTGTCTTTGAACCGAGGCCCAAGCTTAGTGTCAAGCCCAGACTCATGTATCATCCCAACAGACTGGCCTCAATGGTTGAGCAAGCTACAGCATAAGATGTGGGAGAAAAGGTGGCCTTGTTTTACTTCTGAGCACATGTTTGTACATCTACCATGTGTTCTGGCTGACTGTGGGTTGCCTGTGTACGTTTGCACTGAACTCTGCCACCCTGCCTCCTTAGAGGTCACAAGAGCAGTAAGGATGGGTAAGTCAGCCACCGACTTCTTCCTAGGGGACCATATCTTTCTGCCAGAAAGAATGTGGAGTGGTTTTACACTGAAGCATGGGTTGCTTTGAGAAGAGCTGGGCTATGATGTACCAGAACAACAGGCCACTTAAAGTCCTGCTGTGCTTTGCCAACTCTTGGACTACACTCCATTTAACTATATAAATGTAGCCTGAAAGACTAAGGGCTAGATGCCAGAAAAGAGCATAGGTAAAGTAAAAATTCAGATCAAAAAAACTCCACTGAGAAGCCACATGAACTCTGTTAATCTCTTTCTGGATAGAAATGTCCAGAATTGCCCAAAGCTGGGCATCTTGGCACCTCTCCCTTTTGTGCCCACTTGTGGTCTAGGAAGTAGGTAGAGCAGCTCCAAGAGAGGTCTAGCTGAGAGAAACCTCTCCAAGCCCAACAAGTCCAACCACAGCTGGCTTCAGTGCCCGGCCACATTTGGTGGAGTGCTCACTTTCAGTGCAGTAACCCAGTGATGAGAGAATCAGCTTTTAGCTCAAAGGGATTTATGTCAATGTCTTGTTTGTAACTCCCAGGAGAGTGTCCCAGGTGTTCAGAAGGGCTGCAGAATGGAAGGGAAGCATTCATCACCTCACCTGTTGAAGCTGTATCCCTTTTGGAAAGGATGGCAAACGTGTGGCACTGGTGTGAACTAGAAGGAAGGAGGCACAGGGAGCTGTAGGCATACCTTTCATTTCTGGTAGCTATTCCCAAGCCGGTGCTGGTTTTTATCCAGGGACTATTTCCTACACAAATGTGTGAATAAATCCCAGGACTCTCTTCCAACAATTAAACTAGATGGGAGAGACACATCCTTATTTTACTCTGTCTTTTGCCTCAGCTGCCATCTCCTTGTCCCAGACTCTTACACGCTTGTCTGAACAGGGTCATAACTTCAAACGAAAAGGTGGTGACTCCCTGTTTCCTTCCTGCTCTTCCTCCTCCCACTCTAGCACGGTGGTCAGGGGTGCAGCACAAATGCTCCCCAGGAACTCCCGCTTCCCAGACAATGCTCTAACCACTGGGTAGCAGCATAGAGAAGAGGGACACTATTTCCTCCAGCTACACTTTAAAAGAAAGTGAAGGCTGCTTATTGGGAATTTTTTATCTGCTGACAGCCCAATAGGCCTTTTAAACACCTTTGGCAGGCTGTCTGTTAACACAGGCCTTGGTGTTTTCCAGTAATAACAAAGAAAAATGCTGTGGCCAGCAGCCATATGAAATGAAGTCACAGACCAGAGAAGCTACAGGGACTCTTTATTCATTGTTTTAAAGAACAGATTTTGGCACTCACCACCAGAAGAGGACTCCAAATTCTGAGTCCCAAGGGGACAAAGGTGCCAAGCACCAGGGTGGGACTTCACACACATCTATGGTCATAGAGTTTCCCCCACACAGCTTTTGTTAGCTCTTCATTGAACATGCTGCTTGTTTTGGCCATATACCTGCACTTCTTTTACATGCAGGGAATGTAAGCCTGTCATTACCAAACTCAGGATTCAGCCCTGAGGCTGGAAGGCCCATTGTATCCTGGAACATCAGTCCCTTATCAGTCCCATCTCTCTGCTCTGTGATTTATTAAGGTCACACAGAATAGCAAGAATTTAAGTCAAGTCCCTAGAGATCCACTAAATTACCTTGCAGTCAGAAACTGCATCTGTTTAATAGGGGAGAAAAGTCTCTGAAATAATTTACAGTCAACAAGTGAAGTAAGTTTCATGTATGCAACATTATGGAGGATTTCGTAGCATCTTACTCGGATTTTTCCTGCCTCTCTGAAGTCATGCAAGTTTAAATACACAGGTTGTATGAAACAAGTATTCAGTTGCATGGCTTTGATATACGAACTATTTGGCATTAATACTTAGGATAGCGTGCCTATTCAGGATGCAGACTGTGGATATGTTGGAGTTGCTATGAATATTCTGAGTCATGTAAACAGATGATATTATTTAAAATTATTCTTCAGCAAAATAGATTTCCAAAAATAAGATTGAGGAGTTGCTCTGACTCAAATCTGCTTGCAGTTTTTCTGCACCTTTAAAGACAAATGTTGCCGACAAAAGATGACTTTGAGAATCATTTCTTGCCAGGAATGAAACTTATCTTTTCCTTGTTAGTATTTTTTTTTTTTCTCATTCTGTTTCTTAGGTTGCCTGATGTACAAAGGCAGAATGGAGTTCTTGTTCCCGGCCAGGTGCCTAGTTATCAGCAGCACAGGAATATATGAAAAAAAAAAAAAAAAGTAGGAGTGGTGGTAGGTAGGAGACAAATCCTGTGAACAATTACCCTCTGTGTTTCTCTGCTCATCCGTGTCACGGTCTTCTAGTTATCCGGCTAAAAATCTACCTCCTACTCCATCTCCATGCTAGGTTAAAGGATGTTGAATGAAGAGACTGACACTTTCCCTGAGAAAGTATTGGTTAAAACAGAAGTTTACTTTGAAAATAAATTCCAAGGCAATGGTGGGGACACAATCTGTGTGTTTCATCTGCCTAGAGGGCAAGTTGCAACGTTCAGAACCATCTTTCAATGATTCCATGAAATATTTGAGACATAAAAGGTGAAAATTATCATGCAGTAAAAGTGTTTACTGTGAATGAGTCAGTGCCTGCAATAACTATCCCCTACCTCCTTATATTTCTTCACTAGGATTGTAATTTCAACCCACTCATACATTTGCCCCACCTTACCCTAATATGTCTTCCTTTTTGCATTTGCCCGTCTAATCTCTAATTATTCTGCCTGTGCACAGATACAGAGTCTTCTGTACTGGAGACAGCTGCCCTTGGAAACCTTTCCTTTCCACAACGGCAAAGTCTTCCTCTTTTTAATCAAGGGTCAATAGCCAGGGCCAGTGATTTCCTCCCGCCCCTCCATCTGTTGGGGCACATGTACTCTGCTTTGCTCTGTAGAAAGCTGTGAGAGCTGTTTCCAATCTAATGAGCAAAAGTAGATTTCTGAAAGTGAAGAGAAGTGACCAAGATAAGCAAACCTCATATGGAAGACAGAGTGATGGCATTGGCAGCAGAAAATAACAGTGGAGAGAAGTAGTAACTTTTTGGAGAACACTGAGGAGAGCGCCTTCAGTGTCCACATCAGTCAGTATACTAAGAGCAGACAGCATCTGTTGGTACTGGATCCTAAGTATGAAGGAAAGAAACTTGATAGTTATTCTTGTGGGGGGAAAATGGCTCTTTTTACTTTGTAAAAAATCCTAACTTTTTATGCTAGAAGAGTGAGTGGGAGAAAAAGAAGGCCAAAGGAAGAAGGGCAAGGAACAAAGCTATAGGATGATGTAAATACAAGGAAAAGAGAGGAGATGAGGAAGAAAAACCCACCTATAGCATGGGGATGGATGAAAGGAGAAGATAAGTGGAACAGAACTATGATGGAAGCAAGGAAGTGTATGAGTGACCATTTATAGTATTTGGTTTTGTGTTTGATGCTTATTACAAAAAGGGTATATTTAATTACTTTGGTCTGATTAAAGACTTAGAAATGTAATTATTTTGATAACACTCTATTCCAGGCCAGATGCTTTCGTGCTAACATAGCGTCTAGTTACTACATAGGAATTTGCAGTCTTGCTCCTCTGAATGCTAAGTTTAGTTATCATCTGCTCATACAGGTTAAAGCAGTTTGTACCAACTCAGTTTCCACACGAAGTATTGAATGATTTTATCACAGACTTATGAAGAAAGACCCAATTTAATGAGGAACCGGCTCTGCTGTGCTCACTGAAGAAAACAGCAAAACTCTAATGACATTATGACCCAAGACTGCTTGCTACGCTGCCAGGTTAGAACCCATTCCTAAAAAAATTGTCTTTAAAAAATCTGGTTTTTTCCCACCTGGTTATTTCTTTGTCTTGTTCCCAAAGTACTTGTGTAACTCATTCAATTTTCCTTCTTCCTCTTTTTTGTTCTCTGTCTTTTATCTCTAGCAAACAGGAACTAGAGAAGTCTCACCATGAATGTTTGGAAGGTCTGACAGAATTAAATGAAAGGCTTAGGATTTTTTTTTTTTTCATGAAAATATCAGATTTTATCATACTTCACAGTACATACAGTGTCATGAGAAATCATAGAATGTAATTTCTTTTCCTTTTCTTCCAAGACTGAAAAAAAATGATTGTATGAAAGTTCAGCATAAGACTTGAAAGTCAGGAATGAGTAGGTTTTGCTACAGCAGTATCAAAGAAGAAACCGGGCACTTAACCTTTATATACCCAGTTCTGAGACTGTCATTTTGTATTTCACAGTTTGTACAGCAAACTAACTCCCATGGATTTGCCTGTGTCGGTTTTTAAAAAAACTCCCAAGTTCCTTAATTGCTCTAACAAATTTTAGTAATTTGTTTCAAATTCTTATAAAGTAGGACTTGACAGAACTTCAAAACCTGTTGAAATGCCTTATTGATTCAGCGAGGTTTCACTTCCTATTAGTTTTGCAGCTGTCACCACTTCATTTCTAACCCGCTTAGATTAAAGAAGGCACGTGAGTACCAGTTACTTAGATATGTCCTGAGCAAGGTCATATGTTTCAGGCTGATTAAAGCATTTGTGTCAGGATGCTAGAGACTGGGTGTTCCCAAAACAACAATGCAGTTTGCCTACAGCATTATTTATTTCTTTTTCTCAGTGGAAGGGCTGTTCTTTGTCTGTCGGGAATAAGGCTGAGTGAGCGTTGCAGCACAGCTAGTACAGCTGACCAAGCTTTTCTGTGGTTCTCAAAGGAAAGTGAAAGGGGAAAAAAATAGACCAGTTTGGATTGTGTCATGAAAATGGCCTCTCACATAATCTTTTGCCAGCAAGGCTTGGCTCAAATAGACAAGGCGGCAGCCAGCATTTTGGGAGTTTCTTGGTATAGCCTGTGTTGGGGCAATTCTTTAAAATTTCTCTTCCAATAGGTCAGATAAACAGTGAATCATTCCTTGTTTCATCTGTGACTTTGTTGTCAGTTATGAAGAAAAACACTACAAATTGTGCATGCCCAGTAGGTCAGGTCAGAAGATAGGTATCTTTGTATTTCTTTCTGAAAAATGCTTTGATCAGTTTTTTTCTTTTTCCTCTTTGAAGGTGTTCTGACAGTACCTCTATCTTTTGTTCTAAAAGGTTGCCCTCACAGTGATTTGAATGAACCAGCATCTCTGTAAGATAGCAAACATTGGAGAACTTAGTGGAAGCATCGCTTACATTATCACATTATGCCCTTAGTGTATAGCTTTTGGGAAACTGTTAAACCAGCATTATTCCCTGAATCTGCTATAGTTCACATGTGGAAGAAGCTTTTCCACATGCTGCTTTACAGTATGGGACATCATTGTATAGGTGGCAAAACATTTTTGGACTTTTAACTTCAAAAGAAATTTTTCTGAAAATTTTTTAATGATGTGGCTAACAATGGAGGGGAGGAACAGGATGGAGGAGTTTGAGGAAGTCATAAATGGTCTTTCTGTAACATTTAGGATTTCGGTGGTGTTCAATAACTCCCTACTATTGGCGTGCTTACTTGTGCGAGGCAGCAGTAATTAGAATGTCAATTTATTTTTAGGGCAGCCCAATCCAGTAGTCTGGCAGTCAATGCAGGCCATATGCAGTAAAAATAAGTAGTGCAAAGGTAAAAAAAAAAGTAAAATACTTACATGGCCATGATGAAATGGGAAATTCTCTGTTTGTCCTAAGGTCAAACTCCAGCTTGCTTGCTCTCCTCTGAGGCATGGAAGTCACATATACAGGTACAAACCTGGGGATTGGGTTGCTCCCCAACAGCCTTTGTGCCAGCTCGCTCCCAGCCTGCATGTGACGGTGAGCCAACAGGCAGAAGTAGTTCAGCTGAAGGGACCAGCTCTGCTCATCCTCACACCCAAGGGGTTGAGCCACATGGGCTGCAGCAAGGTAGGAGGTAGGCAGTGTAACTGCATTAGTGCAGTGCTGTCACAGAGCTAATTTGCTATGCCTGGCACCATGCACCAGGTTGCAATCATGTGGCACTGCACTCCAGGAGCCTCCTGGCTCAGGATTGGAGACAACATAGGTGGCTAGGCCAGGCTGAAGGTTAATGGCAGGCCCATAGGCAACACTAAATTGCCCCATGCTTTATGCAGGGTATGTATGAAACAGCTACTTTGTGTTTTTCTGTGATAAAATAACACTGGGCATCTGACCATTGCCACAGTGTCCACCAACGCAGGTTGCATGAGTTCTGGTTAAAGAACCCAAGGAGCCAGCAGTGCCTCCAGATGTGACTTGCACAACGCAAGTGCTTCAGCCCGCTCCCTGCAGCAGTTCAGGCTGCTGGGGTGGGAGTGGGACATTTCTTCCTTCTTCGTCCTCTCCCCTCTGCCTGTAACTGGAGTATTTTGTCAGCCTCCATTTAATACGCATACTTCTCCCTTGGCTGTTCCCCAAACTCAAACGAGTGCATTAATTTCCTCAACCAAGGGCTTGTCTAAACAACGGTGTTTTGGCTGCTTTAACGAGTGTTGTTCAAGTGCTAAATTGCCCTAAGCCTCCTGGAGTTACATTAGTACAAACATTGCCATTCAGGACGCAATATCTGCTTTAAAGCGCCTCTCTAGGGCTGTGTACCAGCATCCAGGATAGCATGGAATTACACGTGGTAGGTTAAGCTTGCAATGGTTGTGGGACATGTAACCCATTTTATAAAGCAAACCTGTCTGTGATGGTTTTATAGAAACTTAAATACTTGTAGGGGAAAAAGTTGATGGTAGGACAGTTGACGTCCAAACATACGTCAAGCTACTTAATTATTTCCTGATAGACTTCTTGTCCTAGTGGGCTGAAAGCAGTCAGGATGTTTGGTGATGTCTTGCTGGTGTAGGGGGACTTGGTCCTTTTCCTGGCCTATGTCATTGCCTGAGGCCTGCAGTGTTGTAGAGCTTACTCCTGTGCAGGACGGTTGTTATAACCCATATTTACCTGCTAAGATATTACAGGACTTGTCTATACCAGAGCAGCTCTATTGGAGTAATTACGTTGGCAGAGCCTCCAAGTGCTATAGCAACCATTCCCTCAGCCTACTTCACACAGCCTCTGTGTTTTGGGAAGCTGTGGCGAAGCAAGGCGTCCGTAACCATGTCCACAGCAGGGGTTCTGCAAACACAGGTGTCTCAGTTGTGCGGTGTTGCATTCCCTCACACGCCTTGCTGAGCCTGTGCTAAGAAGCCTGTCCTAAGAAGGAGTAGTTTGTGGAGCTCCCCCCTCCAGCTGCAGGGTGCATATTACCCTCTGCTGTGCTGGCAAAATTGTGAGTCTGCACAAGTTTTCTGGTGCTTTATTCCCTCCCTCTCTTATTCAGTGTTTGCTTCGGCTCACCGGCCTCCTCACAAGTGTCCACAGACCCATCTCCTTGGAAACGGCAGAACTTGTTTATGTGACAGTAGTAAGGAAACTAATTGATGCGTAGCAGCTGCAGGCATGCAAGGGAGCCATGTTCCACCAGAGGACGTCGGAAAAGCGAGTCTCCGCTTATTCTAACTGACTAAAGGTTAGATGGCGGTGAGCAAAAACCACCTTCTTCCTCTGGAGTTTCCAAACTTGCCTTCCCCTGTTCACAGCAGTGGTAGGAATCCTGTTGCGTGCGCGTGTGTATGTTTTCATGGACTTTGTTAGTTGTCTTTGTCACCAACGTGTAGAGGTTGAGAAGCAATGGGAAAATTGGTAAGCCTTGCTTGTTCCTTATTTTGTGGAGTGCTGTGCTGGTGCACCCTGCCATGCCAGGCCTGTCTCCTCTCCTGCCTCAGCCCTGACCCTGCCGATGGCCACAGGACGCTCTCATCCATATATTGAGACTTCTGCTGCTCCACACTGCATGCCCTTTGCTGCCCCTTGTGCTGTTGGAAATGGCCAATACGCCTGTCTGGCCTAGCCAGCTGTTAGAGTCAGTCGGGTGTCCCCGTGTGCGGTGTTTCCTGGTCCTCCAGGACGGATCTCTGGAGGCCTGTGAACAGCTTGTGTGGCCATAAATGTGGCAGGGTGACCAGGTGGGACCTCTCGCCAGAGATGGTGGTGCGCCTGGCTGCCTGCGGCTGCCAACCCAGCGCCGAGAGCTTGTGGCCTGGGCTCGGGCAGGATGGCGGCGGGGCCTCACAGGGAACTCTCCAGAAAAGGCCTGTGGTGCACAGGTAGCCTGGGCAGCCCCCCTCTTGCGGGTCTGGGGGGCCATGCAGGTGCCAGGGGGGCCGCCCTGAACTGTGGGATCTACTCCAGGGGTGTTGGCGCGCAAAAGCAGCGGTGTCTGGGTGGTCCCAAGCGAAGCAAGCCCTGGCAAAGAGATGCTCGTATGGACGTCTCTGTGATGACAACATGGAGGAGGAAGGAAGTATTTCCGTGTACCGTTGGTTTTATGTGTATCTTGAAGAGGCAGTGTGGATGGATGATGATTTTTCTATTTTATACAGCCTCTGAAACAGTGCTGGAAGAGCTGTTCCTGGAAACTTTTTCCATTATTGAAAGCTTTCTTCCCCACCCGCCCACTTGGTATGAATGGCTTTCCCTGGGGTGCGCTTCATCAGCAGGTTCTAGTCTTGGTTTGGGTTTCTTCCTCCTGTTACTAGATACCTCCTTTGGGTGACTTTCTTGGGAAGTAGTGTCTCTAAGTAGCCTTGCCCAAGTCGGAAGCCTGTTCCAGTTGCATGCCCTGTGTTTTAAACTTGAGTGATACCATAGTTGTTGTATAATTGAACCTTCAAATAAGCTGATTTTCTATCAGCTGAAGCTGTATATACTCTTCATTCCTTACACTGTATCAAGTGAAATGCTTGGTTCTACTTTGCTAGGTAGCTGCAGCACGATTTAAAATTTGCTTTACTTCCTACAGGTTGTATTAGACTAAAGCACTTTCTGCAAGTTCACTGTCCATGTCTAGAGTATCAAGGAAAATCACTATTTGGCAGGGTGTAAACTGTCTTCAAATGTGCTTCTGATAAAATAAAGAATGTGAAAGGGTGGGGCAGAAAGAGAATGGAGAAACAGGACTTAATACAAACACTTAATAATGGGGAGAATGCTGGGGATATTGCATGTTAAATATCCTTCTGTTATCTCAACACTAAATGTGGAGAACTAAGTCTTTATTATGTAATAGAGCCATATGTACAAAGATAGGCGTTAGAGCACCAAGGAGGCTGCAAGTGACAACAGGCTGTAAAACTTGGAATGCTTGCTCTGCAGGGAGCGCTGAAGGCAGATGTTGAAGTCTATAAAATAGATAGTAGACAAAGTTGTTAATCCTTGACTTTTAAAGGGAAAAATGTCAGCATAAGTTATTAGAAAGCACCAAGAAAAATCTTAGAAAATTTTGTGTGGTTGAGGAGAGATATGTTTAGTATTATGAAAGGCATGGTTTTCGAATTGCATTAAAATACAGGATTCATCTGAGTGTGTGTTTTGTTGGGGTTTTTTTTAATTATGATTTTGGTGCACATGATCTGGTTTGATATGAACAGAGCCAGAGACAGCCCAGTGACATACTTTGAAAAGTTATAGTCCGTTAAAGAGCTAATGGCATTAAATAGCTCTCTTTTTACAGCCTATGGATTCTGAATCAAAGAACAGTTTCATAGGAAGCTTTCTTCAGCCACCAGATAAGATGCTTCCTGCAGCCTTTGCTTATATAGAATCAAAGAAGTTGGCAGCTGTTGGTGGTGACAGGCCGCCTATCCCCAACAACCAAGGTAAAGCCAAAATATGTCCTTAAAGTGGTCTTTTTAATTGTTCCATGTGAAATATCTTTAGCAAACTCCCCATTCTGTTTTACTCAGATCAATGACTTGCTGCGATTATCAGACTGACGTTGAGACAGGATGTATATGTGTCCTGAGGGAGTAGTCTCCCTGAAGTCATACATCTGGAATGGAAACTGCTGCAAGTCTTCTAACATCCTTATAAACTTTGGCTTTGAAAATTGTTTAACTTAAAATCGTCAGACTTCCTCTAAAAGCAAAGGAGGATGCTTCAAACTCAGCAGAAGCTGTTCATGACTTTAAATACAGAAATAAAAGATCATTAGTATGGTACACTGACTTGAAATTGGCTTTGCATAATGCCACTCGACTCCCTCTAGCTTAAAATCACTTCTAAGGTTTTTTGTGTGGTATGATTCATTAGGAGAACTTTTGAATAACACAGACTTTCAGGAAAGTTAGCAAACGGGACAAATGCTTGGTGGCTTAGCGTATCTGGAGAGCTCAGTGGATCACAAGGATAGCATACTTGGATTTACTATCATAGACAACTTTGCAATACTGCACAGACATCGCCTGTGTGTGTGCCTGAGATCATTGTTCTTTCATTTGAACAGTCTGTGACTTCTGTAGTAATCTTCTGTCATACAGAGTTTGGGTTTTTTGGATTAAAATGTTGAGTTTAATGTTATGCAGCTAAGTGCTTAAGTAAGGAAATATTTGGCATGCCAATAGAAAGATGGAAGAAGTGGTCCCACTTCATCTCTCTGCCCTCTGGTATTTTTTTTGTTGGTGGTTTTTTTTTTAGTTTTGTTCCAATGGGGCTATGATAAGCTGATAAGAGTTGTTACGGAGCTAGCAATATTTACTGGGTACTCCTTTACTGAGAGAACTGGTATAGGGAAACTATCAAGGCTTATAAAATGTCAGAAAAGAAGCTTGACTTGTTACAGAACATGTCTTAAGCTTCCACAGGTGTGTATAGTTTTTGGAGAGCTAGTAGACTTTTCCTTGTAGCTGAAATTGCAACTTTTATTTTTGGCATAATTTTGACACATAGTGATTTGAGGCTAAAAGCAAAATCTTGCAGACCTGTTTCTATGGTTTAAAGAAGCATCAAATACAAGAAGCTAGACATTGAGTCATTACCTTTTGAATACAGTTTTTAAAATACATCCTCCACTAAAATGTCCCCCTTTGTATCTCAATTCCCCCCTGCCCTGAGTCCATTTTTTTTAATTATTTATTTTTAATTTCTCCACACCAGTTGCATTACACCAAAATTTGTGACCGAACTTTGATACCTGTGTTCCCTGCTTCTGTGTAAACAGAAGTCCCAGGGTTTGTTATATTCAATTTGCCACAATTTCTTTGTGCTTGCTACCATTTGGCGTAAAAATAGTTTTGCACATAGCACCATGCTTTATACCTCAGTTATGCAGTAAACATGCCCATTTTCTCCTAGATATGTTCTGCATGTGTTAGTGTACTGCTGGGGGATATAATTCATTTTAGGAGTGTTCCTAGCAAAAAAATTTAGGTAGTATTGTGCTGTTTAAAGTTTTTTGTAAAAACAAATAAATAGTAATAATAGGAACTCTTACTTAAGGTGTAACTGTTGCATTGTTTGCTAGCTGTGGTGGCAGCCCTGAAAACTCTTCAAGAAAAGATCCGCCGTCTAGAATTGGAGAAGTCACAGGCTGAAGATAATCTGTGCAGCCTCTCCATAGCAGCTGCTCAGTATAAGAAGGCCTTAGAGCATGAATCCTGCAAAAAGGGGACAGCACATCACAAACTGATGCAACAGAAGAAAGGTATTTCTCTTGAGTGATAAGGTGTAGCCACAGCAACTCCAAGACTGCATAATCCAGGGAGCGTTTGTTTGGTTTGACAAACTGCTAATTCACTCCCCTTTCTTTTTTGTTTCAGAACTGGGGAGGGGCAGGAGCTTGATAATTGTCAATCAAGTCAAGATGTTTTTTTACATATATTAACCAAGTATTGCATAACCCATAAAGCTATTTTAAAGAATAAGCAGATTTCAGGTGTTATGTTTAACTGCTACAATAAGCAAGCAGCTGCTTACACATATAACACTGCTAACTGGAGAAGAGTGAGGAGAAGGGAAGAAACCAGATTCTGGTTAGATACCTGCTGATATAAATCAAAGTAACTGCAGTGCTCACATCTTTGGAATTCAAATTAGGTACTAGCTCTGGAAAAAACATTTTGATTCTCATGTCTTTTATATATATATAATACATTTTAACCACATGACTTGTTCAGACTAACAGAACTTTTCTGGCATGTTTCAAACACAGAGAATTCCTCAATGAGATGACAGACTGGCTAACTGTGTAACTCCCATTGCTGTGCTGAATGTCTTTGTTTCTCTCTGTAGATGTAAGTGTGCAGTTAAATGCAGCACAATCCCGCTGCTCCCTGCTGGAGAAACAGCTGGATTACATGAGGACAATGGTTTCCAGTGCAGAACTGGAAAAGAAAATTATTTTAGAGCAACAGGTGAAGCCTTTTAGCATGCTAACAAAGTAGTGATGTAGTGAAAACGTACAGAAATATGTAAGATCTGAACTTTTTTACGGCCATCATTTTTCCTCAGCTCTGCTGAGGGTGGTAGTAAATGGAAGCAATTTACTGTCTGACTGGCTGATGACAACCATTCAAAGAATTGTATCAACAGACTCCCTAGGTGGAACTCCTAATGAGCAAAACCATGCTAATACTTGCACATTTGGTAGACAAAAACACTGCTGGAAGCTTAAGTCTTCTTTGTCTGCCTGGTATTTTTCATCACTTTGCAATTTAAAAAATATGAAATTTAAACCAGCTAAACACCTTTACTGTAGTGTGTTTGGTTTTTTGCTGTCTGAAACAATTTCAGTCAGCTGCCAACTCCATTCTTGCTTACTTTTTTCCAGGCCCAGCTTAAGAAAGAGGAAGATCAGAACTGGTTGGAACTGCATGCAAAACTTGAAAAGCTTGAAATGCTAGAAAAAGAGTGTCTTAAACTTACTGCTACTCAGAGAATTGCAGAAGTAAGCATGTGTAGAATGACAGTCTGGAAATCGTTCATTTGGTATAGTTTGTATGACATACTGTTAATAGTACTAAGTTTTGCTAAAGTTTCCTCTGTTAAAGCTTGATCATAAAGCATACCTGTCTGAATGCCACCTTGACTTCATTTGCATGAGTCTTTTTTTTTTTTCAGTCTGGGCTTTAAAAATTCCTACAGTCCTCTTTTATCCCAGATTACAGTTGCAAGCTACTTCAGACTTCTGATTCAGCACGGGAAACTCAAGTGTGACTAATCATTCTTGCCTTCAAATTCAGGACAAGATCAAACACTTAGAGGAAAAGCTTTGTAAAGAAGAACATCAGCGTAAGCTAATACAAGACAAAACTGCTCAGGTAGACTGAAAAGGTTTTATAGTATCTTACTTTTTATGACTGAAGAAAGCTATTCTCTCTGTCCAAAATACCCTTTATTTTATCACATTTAAGCTCCACATGTGTATTATGCAGGGAGAACTCCTGGAATACTATCCTGGAATACCAGTTATAAGCTACATAGTAGAAAGCTTGCCAGGTTTGTTGCGTATCTCAGTCAAGGAAGATTCTACTTGGTTTCGTATTAATGATACAGTTCATCAGCCTCAGAACTGCTATAAGTAATATGGGTAGAAAATTAATTTCTGGGGAATCTGCAACTAAATCAGATAACCTTAACAGTAACTAGAAAGTGGTCATGTAAGAAACCTTATACCCCAAGTAAAATTGGTTATTCTGTTTGTTTTCCTCTTATTTGTTAAGATCTGCTGAAATTTAATACATTGGACTACACTTGGAAAAGTCTTTAATCAGTGATACTGTTACATTGTTCATTAAGCGAGAGCTTGAATAATTCACTATTCTGTGAACCCGTAATCAGTTTGTTGGGCCACCATCCAACTGAGAGAGGAATATTTGCCAAAGAGAGCAAAATCAAAGAAACCTTTTGTTAAAGGGGCAAAGTAGCTTCAGATATTCCAAACCTTGCTTCACTGAGAAGTAGCAGCCATTTTGAAAGAAAGCAGTTATGGTGGCATTCCCTTGGGATGGAGTGGGGGGATGCAGAGCTGAAGAATAATATTGAAAGCCATAAGCGGAGCTGATAGCTTAAATTAATTCATCACTGCTGTCAGATTTTATACTTCATCTAAGGATGATGAGCTTTCATCAGTCTGGGAAGCTTGAAATAACACGCAGATTGTAACCCAGGTGTCTGACCACCTCCAGAATCTGGCAGAATGACACAGTTGAAAATTTGCAGGTTTTTGAGTTTCTTGCTTAAACTGCTTGCTGCTGCAGCGCAGGAGGCCTAGTATGGAGATTTTCTTTTCTAAGAAACATAATAAGAATCACTTTCCCAGAGCAGATAGTCTGACTTTAGCAGTAGTATAAACATTTGCTCAAGAAAGGACTTAAATATAGTAAACTGAATCCTAAACGAGAACTAGTACCATCTTAGTTCACTGTAGAATCAATTTAGGTCTGTTGGATCTGGGTTGGGAAACACAGGGTGGTTCACTTCCTTTTGATGACAGAAAAGCCAGAATAATCTCACTTTTGTGATGGACCTCCAGCATTGTTTAGCCGGAACTGTTACACATGGCAAAACAAAGTCCTTGTCCTGTGTTTAATTGGGAAGGGCTATTATCCTGTTTATCATGGGCCTTTATATCAACTTTGAACTACAGAGCAATCTGAGGATTGTCCAGCAGGTTTGACCTCAATGTTACACAGACAGGCTCAGTTCTCTCTGCCCCCGAACTGTAAAATCCAAATGTTCATATTCTTTGGATTTTATGATCAGATCCCCAGCATGCAGCAGGATTGGCTTATCTCAGTTGCTGGTTGTCACAGTGGAAAAATACAGCTGCTGCAGCTGAATATGAAGATGAAGACTTCTAAGACAGAGCTGCAAGATCTGCCTGATGCCCTGCCATCCTAGTAATCTGTTCAGTTTTTAAGTGTAGCTTATGCCTTCCAAGCAGGACAGTTAATAGTGCCCTTAATTGGTTCTCATCCACGCATGAAAAAGGGAATTAATTAGACCATGTGATTTCATACTTCTAATATTACATTAAATGATTGTTTTCTTTTTTGCTTATTCCTATAGCTTCAAACAGGATTTGAGATAAACAGAATTTTGATTTCTTCGCTAACATCTCAAAATGAACCTAAAAAGGAAAATGGGAAGAAGAAAAAAACTAAGAAGGTAACATGAATGTTTTTATTAGCATACTGTTGCTGATACCATCTGACTCGCACAGAGATAGGAATTTGTGAAGAACAGTGCTGAATACCTCTTTTTTTCTTTTTTCCTTTGGTAATTAAAACTGGGCTAGGACTGGTAGCACCTCACTGGAAAACTTTCCCTTACCAGCATGACAATAACCTCTGTTACAGCCTTACTGCCATCCCCCATGTTCTGTCTTAGCTGCCTTTCAGTTTATCTGGCAAAATTAGTTTCCAAAGCAATTTTAACTAGGCATCTTCAGATGGTTTGTTTTGGTGGGATTGCTGAAATCAGGAGAATTCATTTTGCAACACATGTTACAGGTCAGTCAAAATTTTGCAACTGTGGTTTTGCAAACTTAAGTAAGCAATGTTCAATGTCTTTAATGTAAATCTGTTTGTCAAACTATATGCTAAACGCACCTGGAATAAAATTTACTCATCTCAACTGGTGGAAAGTCCTACTCCTTCCACATACAAGAGGGAAATTATTTTTTTTTAAACCAGAGGGAAACTGAGATGATGCATTTCGTTGCTTGTTTATTTGAATTTTACTTTAAAAAAAAAAATATTTAAGACTCTGCTGTTGGGTCAGCAGATTGAAATTTCTTGTCTTTTCCTGTCTATCTTACGCCAGAGAAATCCTACAATGAAGAAGATGCACCTTTCACAGTTACATGTAAAAGCTGGTGAACTACCTTTTGTGGCTGGGAAGGTGAGTGAAACCAAATGTTCTCTCTAAATTGGCATCTACAGTATGAATAAGTGTCTTTACTGTAATTGTTAATCACTTCTCTAAACTACTTAATAATTCTGCTTTAAGTCTGTTGGTTCCAGCCATTCTGTTAGTGCAAACGTACAAAGCGTGTTGCATATTATGAAGCATCGCAATCCACGTATCTCATCACAAAGCCAAGGAGGAGCTACATCTGGGATTTCAGGACGCAGTGCACTTTCAAAATCCATATCCTCTTGCTCCACATCGCCTACTGCCACCAGAAACCTTTCGGACCTTCTGTTGGCCATACAAGATGAGTTGGGCCAAATGAGCTTGTGAGTACTCGTGCCTGGTGTTATGAGTAAAAGCAGCTTCAGTGGTAGCCCTGTGAAGCTACAGGTGTGCTACAGTCGAACCTAGCCTGTTTTAAGTGTAGGACTACTTGTTGACAGAATGGCCTGAGCAGACCTGACCGGTAGGATTTTTCTCATTCAAAAAATTCTTTCTGTCCTGGTGTTTAAGTGATCTTGTGAGCAAGCAACATACTCTTCAGCTGGGCTTTTCTGTTTCCACATCCTGTACTTAACCCAGCTGCTACTGAAGTAACAGCTGCAGCAAATGAAAAATCTTTCAGGCCTGTGCTTTTTAGAAATTTTAAACATATTCTGAGGTCTACAGAGCAGACCGAGAATGTTCTCCTGGAGAAGGCTGCAAAGCTGGTGTTAATGTTGAGTAGGCCTGCAGCATGTAGTCAGTCTGGGTGGTAGAATAAGTTAGTACAGCTGTGGCAAGAGTAATCCTGTCACAACATCTAGCCTATTACTTTGTTCTCACTCTTTCTGTGTTCTCTCCGTACATGTGTACCTGGATGGGTCTTTGTGCTGAGACAGTCTGGCGTTCATACCCTTTCCTTGTTGATAGCAGGAGAACTTGCCAGTCCTGTAAGAGGGTTGTGAAAGAGGGACATTGTCTGCCAGAAAATGGGCAGGGTGTGGAAGAAGTTAATGCATTAGTTGGGAGTGTATGTGTCTTTCTAGCCATGCAAGTAAATGTGGATTACAACTTGTCATGTTCTTAGGCATCTTCCCATTAATGCAAGCTTGTAGAATTGTGGGCCAAAGCTATGTACCTGGTCATAGTAGACGTGTCGACATGATGCGCTGCGGTTTGAACAGAGGAGGATGTGTTGGTTAAACCAGTTAGAGTGTTGGTTAAACCAGTTGGGATGTTGACACTGGTTTGAAATCCTTGATGTGGCAAAATTTAAACCAGCAAACAATCTCTTCTTGAAAAAGCAATGTTTGACCTACTCAAAGCAATTCAAGGACAGGCCTCTTTTTTTTTAATAGCAACAACCAGTTGCTTCAATTAAACTGTCAAGACACAGCAGTTACTCAGAAGTCAGAAAAGAATCCGTGACCTTTGTAAAGAGATTATCTATCTAAGAGAGTGTCTCTGGTTTTGAATAGCTCAGATATCTAGATGTCAAGTAGAGCTACACAATTTCTTTTAATTAAGCTGGTTAATTTAATTAACCAGCACACCTCACTGCAAATCTTTCTGAGCAGAATATTGTATTTGAATTATCTGTCAGAAAAACTATAACTTAAATGTACTAGTTTAAACAATACTTTTACACTAAGTTTTCAAAGTCTGCACTAAATTGGGCAGCAAGTGAAAATACCATACTGCATGGCTGTTGTTCACTTTCCAAATTCTCATTTTGCACACTATTATTACACACATAGTTGTTATGACTGGCAAGGGGGAGGAATAAGATGCACATCAGCTACAAATTTGGGGTGAGAAAATTGGACTCACTGGAAAAACTTTTTCTTTTCTACTGTGAATGTATTCCAGGTTAATACGTATTGTGTGAGGGGGTAAATAAGGCTAAGTTGCTGTACACTAGCAACTCCTGCAATACACTGAAAGTATTGGAAGAAATCGTAGAGACTATATCATGAATATTTAGTGTGCCATTCTTGTCTTTAATAGTGAGCATCAAGAACTTCTGAAGCAGATACAGGAGACTCAAAACCCCAAAGTTCGTGAAGACCTAGAACAGGAGCTGGATTGCCTTGTAAAACAAATGGAGATTAAAGGAGAACAAATATCCAAGCTGAAAAAGCATCAAGATACTGTAAGAATAAAATGTAAATTCCCTATCTAGTAATACTCTAGTTGAGAAGCTGCCACAACTCTGCCTCCTGTTGTCATTAACTAGAATGTCACCGGAATGCTTTAACCAGGATGTTCCAATATGAGTGATTGTAATTAGGCTGCTGAGCTCAGTGTTTTTGTACCTCCAATTCCTTCTTCTGATCAAGAAAAAGTGCTGACAGCTGGCAGCTAGGCATGTGTGCTGGTGGGAGAACTTCCTGCCCTGTGGCAGTTCTGCAATACAGGGCTGGGTTGCTCACTCTGTCATGTCTGTTCACTGCGTTAAGACAAACTGTAGGGATTTCATTCCTTTGTGTCCTGTCTCTCTGGGGAATGAGAAAGAAGCTATAATTCCTGTACAGACTGGATTAAATGTCTTTTGTATTACTGAAATCTTGAAGCTTTTTATTAACCAAATAGTTTGTTGACCACAGCTTCTCCAAAGTCATAGCCAGACAAGCCTCTCAGTTTTGTTTAATCCCTAACCTGTACGCATTCTGTCAGTATTTGTTTTAGAGCCATAGATAACAGCTTTTCGTACATACCCATATAAAATCACTCTTCTGTAGAGGAACAGCTTAACCCTTTTTGTAGCAATTTGGTTTGGAACACATGATAAAAAATAGTTCTGTCTGATAGTTTTCTATTCTTCATCTTATGTTTCAGGATAAATAGACTCACCTGAGAACTTTGCTTATGCAGGAAACAAAACAAAACTCGGTGTTAGACCTTATGAAAGGGGAAGGTGATAGTTAATTTAAATCTGACCAATTTTATTCACATTCGTTCTTTGAGAGATTTTACTCACTCAAACCTTTTATTGTCCATGTAATTGCAAGCACAAAGTGCTTATGTCAAAATAGAATGTCAGAGTTGCGTGTTAGCAATATGGACAAAGAACATGGACTGTTGAGTCCTCACTGCCTCTCTTGTTAACATCAACTGTTTTTTGGATGAATCTCTTACATTCTTGAGAAGCCGACAATTATGGTGTTATTCCTTGCCTCAGAATCTTGCTGGCTTCATCCTCCAGATGATGGACAACAACTGCACCTTTGTTTCTTCCTTCTGCGTATCTTTATGGCTACAGTCTGCCTTCATTTTGGGGTGATGAGAAGAGGAATAGCACACACAATGTGGTGCAACCATGTTGTCATCCTTGCTTATTATCGGGCTGCAGATCTGCTGGCAAGTCATCTGTGCTCTGGTACAGCCTTATCAGAGCACACGCCTTAGGGTTATGATGTAAATAGCACATTCTTTGTGTTTGTCTGTTTGATTACTGTCAATCATGCCCTGGTTATCAATGCAGGCCACTTCTGTAACCCTTGAACTGTATCGTTTTTTCTGGTGCTTTTGCACATAGACATTTCTATTTGTATTTTGTACGGACCGATCTTAATATTTCTGATGCATATTTTTGCTTTTAGAACCCGTCACACAAAAAATGCTGTGGTCATCTCTGTGTTTCACAGATAATAATATGTTCTAGAATGCAATTAAAGTTAATTATTTTTAGAAATGGACTTAAAGCCTAAATTGGCATATGGAATGCTTCCAGCCTAATTTTATCTTTGGAAGTGACCTTTTCATGCCAAGTGCAAGTCAAGACTTATTAGTTGACATTTAAAAAAACCCCACATTCTTTAGCAATCAACCCTTTTTATTCTGTTTTCCAATTTAGTTATGAGGCTTCAAAGTAAACTGCTTAGATACAGTAACCAATAATAAACAGTATACGTTTTATAGGTTTGTTGTTTTGGCTTGTGTTTTTTTTCTGTTAGTGTAGTACAATCTGAAATGGAAAAAGACCATTGCAAATACAAATTGGTAACAGATGATATTCCATCTCTCTCAAGCAAGCATTTTTACCTTAGGGAGTGATGGGGTTGGACAACCTATTGAGTGTGGGTGAGGTCAGTTTTCTGTAATGCTTTCTGTGTGGGTGAGGTCAGTTTTCTGTAGTGCTTTCTGCTACAGCAAGACAACTCTATGCAAGAGTAGTAGGTTTTAACTTTTTTTTTTTTTTTAATGTCCCTTAGACATCTTTAGTTTGGAGTTGGTAAAAGTCCAGTAAGCTCTATAGCTGCAGGTCTTCCGTGTATGTAACATTCTAATTAGTAATCTTTCTTCCTAGGTGCAGAAATTAAAGAGAAAAACTCAGAAATTGAAGCAAGGGGCAGCTCATGTCAAACTAAAGTGTGGTGACCAAAAGGAAGCAAAGGAGACTGCAGTCACTGTAAGGGAAAATATGTCTAAATCTTGTCCTGGGCAGAAAAGCAGAAGCTGTCTTCAGCTGCTAAAAAATATGCAGAAACTTCAGTCAACACTGAAAAAAAATGATATCATGTGGGAACAACAGTTCTGAAGTTTACTGTGTTAGAAGTTTTTGAAGTTGTCTGACAGCTAGTAAATTTTTAATTTAAAAAAATACCTTTTAAAAGTAAAATAAATACAGATTTTTACATTCTAAACTGTCTACTCACTACTAGGTCAGTTTGTTCACCTCAGAATTGGGTATGTAGGGTAGCTATAATTCAACTACACTGACTTGTAATAAAGTACTTTCACGGATTAATGACTTACTTACTTGTTAACTTGTCAAATGAAATTTTATACCTTTTTTACACTTAAAATAGTATGTGATCTTTGGTGTCCTATTCCCCCCACTGCCAAGGAGATACTGAGAGCTTGCTTTTCCACAATGATTTGGGCTAGTGCTTCTGTTCAAATAAAAACAATGGTTTCCCTTTTCTCTAATAACTGAAGATTCAGATCATTGCAACTGAGGCAGAAGAAGACATACTGTCTCTTATTTATCTACTTTTTCACTATTATTATTTTTATTAATATTACTATTATTACTCTATAAGCTTTATTGACAGTCTTAGTATTAGGGACAACTAGGGATTGGAAGCACAACCCATGGCTTGGTTAAACCACAACAACGTGGGAGTGTTCTGATAAGTGCAGGGAAGGGCCAGTACCAAAAGCTTGGATGCTTGTCTTCTCATCAACAGAAACTGCTTCTGCCACAGTATAAAATAATTGAGCTGTTACAGAGGAGACCTTGAGCTGCATACCAGTACATGTTGTGGAATTTCTGTACTCGTACAAATGCAAGGTGGGTCTTTATGCTAATGGTCAGTCTGCTCTTTTCCATCCCCCACTTGGTACGTATGGTAAAAGACATAGCAGTGACTTCGAATCGACACTGATTATTTAATGGCAATAAATTCTTGTCTTGAGGTTACTGACTGATACTGATTTCCCTGAATGTTTGCCTATGTCAGAAAAAAAATAGCTTCCTTGGGTTGTGTCAGCGAAGATCTGCTGTAGATCTCTGGTATAACGAGAATTTAGTGGTCTTCTCAAGCCCCTGTGCAGGTAGGAATAAAAATTGGAGGCATGCTCTGTTGTCAAGGGTTTTGAACAAAGGCTAGTAACAATGCATGGTCCTAATGGAAAGTTGGGTCTTTGAATCAGTGAGTTTTGCTCTGGCACCCTTCAAGAGAAAGGATTAGGAAAATTTTCAGACAATTAATTTAAATTTAGAATAAACTTTTACAATCTTTGACAGGAGTTGCATGTGTGAGCTTTTGGGGGTGAGAGGGGGAGTTTATATGTACAAAACATCTTTATCAGGACTGTGAAAGACCAGGTCATTCAACTTATATTTGGGTATGGGTTTCCTACACTCTCTTAAATCGTATAGACATCCTTCTTACTTATGGGTTATCTCTGGCTTAGAAAAACATGTTGTGTGCTTGAAAACCACTTAAACACCATTCTCAACAAGGTATTTTCCTGGTATAGATGGTGTTTCTGAGGTAGGTTTATGCATTTCTGGACACTGGAGTCGCTGATAGTGGAGAGAAAAGAAAATTAAGCATTTCTGCTATTAACTTTTTCAGATTGTAAGTATTCTGCTGCCACAAGAGAAGCCTTTGCCATTCCTAGGGACAGTTAAATAATCTCTGAAGCTCTGTACCCGTGCATTTGAGAGCAAGCAAGAAGGGCCTTACCAAGCCCTATGGAGCCTAAAGCGTTATATTTCATCTGGAGATCCAGCCCTAGACAAAAAAAAAAAAACAGGCAGTGGATTGGAAGAGAAAAATTGCCAGCAATTTGCCCCAAATGCATAAAAATCGGTAGAAAGGCTTTGCATGGTGGCAGGCATGGGAGTGAGAGCAAAAAGCATCCCAGGCTTGCGGCCGGGGACTGAGAGGCCGTAGCAGCTCCTATAGCTTAAGGTTGCTATAGGGACCGCTGGGTCTGTCTGGGCAGGGAGCTGACACATCAATCACCCACTCCCTCTGTGCCTTGACCCAGTATATTTTTGTTGACTATAGAAACCCAGGGGCAGGGGGCCATTTTGGTGCTGGAGCTGGAGAAGGAATGCCCCGGCTCCTCTCTCAGACAAGGGGCTGCAGTGGAGGACAACAGCTTTGGGTTGGTCAACCAGGTACTGGATGGGGCAGCGCTTAAGTGATGGAATCATTGAACAGTCAGTCTTCCAAATGCGTGTGCTGACAGGGGCTGTCCAGTCCCAGAATGAAACTGCTCTGTGTGCCTTTCTGTGGGGTGAGTGGCTGGAGGGAAGGGGAAAACCGCTGAACCCGCTCCTGTCAGCAGCTGGGCGTTGGGCACCTCCACCAGGGGGACGGGGAGCTGAAAAAGCTGTCTTGCTGTCCCAGCTGGGATTTGAGAGGGGAATATAGGAATGGGTGATACGTGAGTTTATGTTAGTTGACAGGGGTTTATCACTTGTACTTCAACTCGGAAGATTTCGTTGTATTTTAATAATTCCTTTGTGCTGCTTTTTTTTCTGGAGCTTTTATTTCGCTAGTGCATGTGTTTTCACACACTAAAGCAAAGCAGATGCGCTTCAGCATGGGCTGAGGGAGTCAAACCAGATACAAAGGAAGTATATCCCAAACAAGTTCTCTTGCTTGAAGAAACACAGAAAATTTGTTTTCAGATTGTATCTCAGTGGGGGAGGAGAGGGTAGGAGATCAGCTTATGCATTTATTTATTAGCGTATTCACCGTTTGAAGCAATTGTCAATCACGTTAAGTCTTCAAAGAAAGATATAGCCATGAATAATTCTGCAGAAACCTCAGTCGTGAAGTTAGGCTTGTGCACAAGCGTTGGCACGGTTCAGCTCCATGAGAATTAGGCAGGCAGATCACAGTGAGTTTTGCTGGGATGCAAATGCTTCACATCTTATGCTGCAAAAATGTTCTGGCCTGGAACTCCATAAACGTACGCTTGGAGAAAGCACAGTGGTCAGAGCAGTCGTCTTCACGAGAACAATATGTTTTGGCTTAATAAGTGCTTGCTTTGCTCTTTTACAGATCCGTGTTTTGATTTATATCTTGCATGGTTTTGTTTGTCTTCTCAGATGAAACTGTATATTTCTTTATTTTTCCTGAATGTTTTGAATCTAGCTATAAAGGGCGGCAGACGAAACCACACAATGATCCCAAAAAAAGACTAATTGGTTTATTTACTCAAAATCTGGGTTCTTTTACGCTGAGTTATGCAAAATTGCCACAACAGGTTTTCTAGTGTTTGAATCTAGGGTCATATTTTATGGCTAAACATTAAGGAAATTGGACAAAAGATGTAGGTCAAACAGTATAATTAAAAATACAGACCAGCAAGTTGTATCCAACAATAGTTCACTTTCCTGCTGCCAGCGAAATATGCTAGCGCAAATTAATGGCTTGTTACTTAAGCCTGCTGGAAAGACTTTGACCAAGTACAAAAGGCATTCAGTTTGAGCATGTGTATTACAATCTTCTAACCAGCAAAGCTGGAGGTTGGACGAAGCTATAAATCCAGTGTGTTCTGGGAATAGAGGCTGGCAAAAACACTCCTAGCAAAATAATCAGGGCAGGATCTCGCTGGGATTTGGATACTGGCTAACCTAACGAAGTGCAGATGTTTATGTGGACCGAAAGACATTCCCAGAATAAGAATAATGTACAAACACACGATGATTTTTATAGCAGAAAAAAACAAGGAAGTGGGGATAATAAAACATATGCTCTTATTTCTGATGAAGCGTTTTCTGTTTTCCTCGGCTTGCCTGTAGTAAAGTGGGCAAGATTGCCTCTACAGTATCCCCTGGTGGGGCCTGTTGGAGCTCCTGCAAGTAGCTTGGGTTGTGGCTCTGGTGCTTACCTGAAGGTCTCCATGGGTTCCCCGAGTGGATCCTGTAGTCTCTCTTCCAACAGCAGAGAGAAGCAAGCATTTCTGAAAGCGTGGTGTATTGTACCCTAAGGTGACAGCCAAAATAGGTCAGTTGAATCTTATCCTAAATGCCGGGTTCTCTCTACCGACCACAAAGGGAGACCAGGGTGAGTGGTGAGCTTAGATGAAGATATTTGTATTGTACAAAGAGTTTGGCCAGATAAATTCTGGTGACATGCGGAGCTCTTTCCTCTGATTTCTGGGGATCCTGGGTTAGTCCTCCAGAATCTTCAGAAGCACCGGGTAAGTCCTGGGCTGCTGACAGCCTGGGAATCCTGTGCACTGCCCTGCATACAACCATTTTCCCTCCTGTTTTTGTGTCAGCCCCTCGTGTGCTGGCCTAAATGTGAGTGCCTGTC